CGGCCGCTTCTCGAGTTGATTCGCGAGGAAGGCCGACTCCGAGTCGCCGCCCTTGATGCTGTGGACGAGAACCGAGTCGTCGCGAACATCGAGAGTAATCTCCACACTCTTCTTCTTTGAATCTCGCGTTCTTCTTGTTGCTGGTTCTTGTCTTGTTCGTCGTCGTCACCAATGGCCCGCTCAATTGGCCGCTGTATGCGATTCGCGATGTGCTCTCCGTGCTCTCTGTGTCCGATAACGAATCGTACTTCGTTTGGTTTTCTTGATGTTGAATCTCCATTGTTTTGGTTTGCTTTTTCTGTGCTCTCTGTGACGGAATAATTGTATATGGAAGGATATAATGAATGATTCCAAGGTTTAATTAGTGCTAATTAACTATGTTATACAGGTTTAAAAATGGGGAAAATATTTGGTAAAACAGCACAGAAAATGAGGCAATTTAGCCATGCATGCAAAAACAAGCAGAAAGTCCAAGACAATCTGTATATATATATACACAGAGCAAGTATTGAAAAAAAAAAACATTGCCTAGAGACTTGGAAAATAACGTGAGACACACAATAAAGAAGAAAGGGAAAATCAATCATTGATCATATTCAAAGGTGATATTGAAAAACAAGTTTAACTTACCCAGCTAATTGGGGACGTTCCTTAATTCTGTCAAGTTCTGTGGTACCAAAATATGATGGTTTTGGTATTCTTCCAAGAGAAAACTTTGGTGCAAAAAAAAAAAAGGTTTGAGAGTTGAGTTTAATGGGAAATTTGGAGTTTATATTGACAAGTTACTGGGCAAAATACTAGAAATTAGCAGAGGTATTGAGAAGAAGTCAAATTAAAGGCAGGAAAACCAAGGGGCGCATCTGGGATATGGTTGTGGGGTGTTTTTGTTGGTTGAATGGGATAGTTTGTTTGTTTGTTTGGTTTTCTTTCTTTTTTTTTTTTTTTGGTGCTGACAAATGGGATGGGAGTTGTTGGGGGCTTCAATTTGTTCTCAAACTTCAAACCATAATCTATTTGTCAAGCAAAAAGCTATATATGTTTGGAAGCTCCTTTGAAAATGTAGCAGGGACAACTTGACGAGAAACTATATAGATATATAATAATGTTTTTGTTGAAAAAAATGGGAAAATTAAGTTGGTGCCAGTTCAAATTCAACTGGGTTGTCTAAAATATAGCGTAGACTACCGCTTAAAATACATTTTGTGTTGTTTTTTTGACTACTAAGCATGTGGAGCAAAGGATAAGTAAATAAGAAGTAATTGGCTGTATTTATGTTTGGGGCGCTCAGGGGCCAGCTCAGGAGCCAGGATGTGTCAAAAATTTACATTTTTACTTATATTTTGTATTCTAAAATTAATATATGATTTTTAGGAATAAATGCAACAAGCGGCACCATTTTTTGATGAATATTCTATTTTTTATGATTTTCTTTAACTTTCGTTTTAAAAAAATATAATAAAATAAAAACGACGTCAAAAAATAATGAAATTTTACAGACACGATCCTTACATTTTTCTCGGCATGCCAGAAAAAAAATCTCAAAAAATGACAAAAAAATAAAACACTGTCAAAAAGCCCCCGGCCCGCGTAGTGGGGTGCCCAAGGGCCAGCTCAGGGGGCCAGGATGGGTCAAAAGTTTAGATTTTTATTTATTTTTTGCATTCTAAAATTAATATATGATTTTTAGGAATTAATGCAACAAGCGGCACCATTTTTTGATGAATATTCTCTTTTTTATGATTTTTTTATTTTTCGTCTTTAAAAAATATAATAAATAAAAATGACGTAAAAAAATAATGAAATTTTACGGACACGATCCATACATTTTCTAGGCTTGACAGAAAAAAAAATGACCTCAAAAAATGACAAAAAAAGTAAAACGCTATCAAAAAACCCTTAGCCCGCATAATGGGGTGCCCAGGGGCCAGCTCAGGGGCCAAGATGGGTAAAAAATTTACATTTTTATTTATGTTTTACATTCTAAAATTAATATATGCCATTTAGGAATTAATGCAACAAGCAGCACTATTTTTTGATGTATATTCTATTTTTTATAATTTTCTTTATTTTTCGTATTTAAAAAATATAATAAAATAAAAACGACATAGAAATATAATGAAATTTTGCCGACACAATCCTTACATTTTTCTAGGCATGCCAGAAAAAAAAATGGCCTAAAAAAATGGCAAAAAAGTAAAACGCTGCCAAAAAGCCCTCGGCCTGCGTAGTGGGGCGCCCAGGGGCCAGCTCAAGGGCCGGGATGGGTCAAAAATTTATATATTTTTTTATATTTTACATTCTAAAATTAATATATAATTTTTAGGAATTAATGCAAGAAGCGGCACCATATTTTGAGGAATATTCTATTTTTTATGACTTTATTCATTTGTCGTCTTTAAAAAATATAATAAAATAAAAATGACGTTAAAAAATAATGAAATTTTATAGACACGATCCTTACATTTTTCTAGGCATGCCAAAAATGGACTCAAAAAATGACAAAAAGTAAAGCGCTTTCAAAATTCCCTCGGCCCGCGTATTGGGGCACCCAGGGGCTAGTTCAGGAGCTACGATGGGTCAAAAATTTACATTTTTATTTATGTTTTGTATTCTAAAATTAATATATGATTTTTATGAATAAATGTAACAAGCAGCACAATTTTTTGATAAATATTATATTTTTTTTATCATTTTCTTTATTTTTCGTATTTAAAAAATATAATAAAATAAAAACGACGTCAAAAAATGATAAAATTTTAAAGACATGATCCTTGCATTTTTCTAAGCATTCCAGAAAAAAAATGGCCATAAAAAATGACAAAAAAAAGTAAAACGCTGTCAAAATGCCCTCGACCAGCGTATTGGAGTGCCCAGGGGCCAACTCAGGGGTCAGGATAAGTCAAAAATTTACATTTTTACTTATATTTGTATTCTAAAATTAAGATATGATTTTTAGGAATAAATGCAATAAGAAGCACAATTTTTTTATGAATATTATATTTTTTTATAATTTTCTTTATTTTTCATCTTTAAAAATATAATAAAATAAAAATGACGTCAAAAAATAATAAAATTTTGCAGACACGATCCTTACATTTTTCTAGGCATGCCAGAGAAAAATGGCCTCAAAAAATGACAAAAAAAGTAAAACGTTGTCAAAAAGCCCCCGGCCCGCGCAGTGGGGTGCCCAGGGGCCAAATCAGTTGCCAGGATGGGTCAAAAATTTACATTTTTATTTGTTTTTTACATTCTCAAATTAATATATGATTTTTAAGAATTAATGCAACAAGCGGTACAATTTTTTGATGAATATTCTTATTTTTATGATTTTTTTATTTTTCGTCTTTAAAAAATATAATAAAATAAGAACGACGTCAAAAAATAATAAAATTTTGCGGACACGATACATACATTTTCTAGGCATGCCAGAGAAAAATGACCTCAAAAAATGACAAAAAAAGTAAAACGCTGTCAAAAAGCCCTCGGCCCGCGTAGTGGGGTGCCTAGGGGCCAACTCAGGGGCCGAGATGAGTCAAAAATTTATATTTTTATTTATGTTTTGCATTCTAAAATTAATATATCTCATTTAGGAATTAATGCAACAAGCAGCCCTATTTTTTGATGAATATTCTATTTTTTATGATTTTCCTTATTTTTCATATTTAAAAAATATAATAAAATAAAAACGACGTAGAAAAATAATGAAATTTTACCGATACAATCCTTACATTTTTCTAGGCATGCCAGGAAAAAATAGCCTAAAAAAACAGAAAAAAAGTAAAACGCTTTCAAAAGGCCCTGGCCCACGTAGTTTGGCGCCCAAGTGCCAGCTCAGGGGCCATGATGGGTCAAAAATTTATATTTTTACTTATTTTTGCATTCTAAAATTAATATGTGATTTTTTTGAATTAATGGAGCAAGTGGCACAATATTTTGATGAATATTATATTTTTTTTTTATGATTTTCTTTCTTTTTTGACTTCAAAAAATATAATAAAATAAAAACGACGTCGACAAATAATGGAATTTTGTAGTCAGGATCCTTATATTTTTCCAGGCATAAAAAAATGGCCTAAAAAATGACAAAAGAAGTAAAACGCTATCAAAAAGCCTGTGGCCCGCATAGTAGAGCATCTTGGGACCAGCTCAGGGGTCGCGATGGGTCAAAAATTTATATTCTTATTTATGTTTTGCATTCTAAAATTAATATATAATTTTTAGGAACTAATGCAACAAACGGGCCATTTTTTGATGAATATTTTAGTTGTCATGATTTTTTTTTTGTGTTTAAAAAATATAATAAAATAAAAGTGACATAAAAAAATAATGAAATTTTGCAGGCACTATCCTTACATTTTTCTAGACATGCCAGAAAAAAATGATTCAAAAAATGACAAAAAATAAAACGCTGTGAGAAAGCCCCCGGTCCGCGTAGTGGGGAGCCCAAGGGCCAGCTCAGGGGACGGGATAGGTCAAAGATTTTAATTTTTATTTATGTTTTGCATTCTAAAATTAACAGATTATCTTTAGGAATTAAGGCAACAAGCGGCACTGTATTTTGATGAATTTTCTTTTTTTTTGTGATTTTCTTTATTTTTCATCCTTAAACAAATATAATAAAACAAAAATGACGTCAAAAAATAATGAAAATTTGTAGACACGATCCGTACATTTTTTTAGGCATGTAAGAAAGAAAGGCCTCAAAAAATGACAAAAAAAGTAAAACGTTGTCAAAAAACCCCTGGTCCGCGTAGTTGGGTGTCCAGGTGCTAGCTCAAGAGCCGGGATGAGTTAAAAATTTATAGTTTTATTTATATTTTATATTATAAAATTAATTTATTATTTTTAGGAATTAATGCAACAAGCGGCACCATTTTTTTGATGAATATTCTATTTTT